GTGGGGGGGAGAAATCAGAGTATCAGTGGGAACAATCAGACTGCAGCAAGGGAAAAAATAAGCAAAGAAAAAGTAAATAATCAATATTTTAAAAGAAAATGGAGTTTAAAAACAAGACGCTGGAGTGAAATAGAGGCTAGGTGAGACAAAGGGCTAGTGCAAAATCAATGAACAGGAATACAAATATCAAAGCCAGCTTATTGATTTTGATTGAGTAGTTTCTGCTTCTGAGTCCATCTAAACACCTAGAGGCTAGATTCTGACATGTATAATGTCAGCCTGACAGTTCACTTACCTATTATACCTACAATTATTTGTCTGTGAAGTGTGAACAAATTAGTCAACTGATTTACAAACACTGAGTCACTGCCAACAACCAAGAGGCATAATACAGCCATGCATCTGCATGGTGTTACACTAAGCAGAGAAAAAGGAACAACAGACAGACTTAGATGATTATTGTAAGCAATTCTACAGAAAATTAATTTAAGTCTGTTTATCAACAACATACTGGTAATGTGAGCCTCTAAATATGGAGCCTGGATGAGCTGCTACCACAGTATATTTATCAGATGCAAAATACAACAGTTTTTTTTAAAGCTAAGTAGATTTAATTTTCATTAATGTTTTCCTGTCAGATTCATAGGATCATTAACACCATAACATAACCAGCAGACATTTTATAAATCAAAGAAAAGTGATGGGACTCTCCTTCCAGAGCAGCAGCTTGCAGGGCGTCCCTCAGCAAATCTCAAAAACGAGACAAAAAATAGGAACCAAGCAATTTCTGCCTACCCCAGGCCTCAGCGTGTAGTCCATCTTAGGTTCTCCTTCTGGCTGCCTGCCATCACATCCTTCCCACGGAGCAAGCACGCCAGACCACCTCTCTCCTAAGTCCCTTTCACCCAACTGCATTGAACTCCTTTCTTTTAACTCCTTCCTGAGGCTGACACTCCCTCCAGGTGTAACAAGCTGGGGTTAGAGTTCTCAGGCGCTAGTCAACCCTTTCTCAGTCAGTTTGGGATTTATAACCCCCACCACTAAACCCCCATTCAGGATTAGGGTTCCACTGTGCTAAGTACTGTGCAGGCACAGAGACAGGGAAAAATCTTGGTCCAAGGGAAGTCTATGAGTCAATGGGAGTTTTTTCCAAAGGGGCCAGGATTCCACCATAGTTCCTGTCACCACCCTGGTTGTTATGAAAGGGGCTTGTCAGATATATTAAATCTGTATCAAGAGACTTGTAGAGCAAATCTTGTCTGTTGCTAAATGAGTTTGGTTGAGACTACAAGGTTGTGCGCCCATCTACAAAGTCTACTTATATCTTGACCATGAACGCTGATACAAAGAGATGGTAAACAAGGTTGAGAGATGCTTGGAATTGTGCACAGTTTGCATAAAGATGGCTGTATTTTTGTACTACATTCCCTATCTGTATTTTATTTTCTTTGTCTGCCATCTCTCACAAATGGGAACTGTTTCCCATTCTTTGGGACTGTCTTTTCTGTTTGCTTTTCCTTCTTAAGAAAAAGGACTGTGCCTTAAATACGTTCTCATTTTGCCATGGCTTTGAACACATGCAGAAGCCTTCAGTTAACTTAAACTGAAAAAAACAAAAACGAATACTTCAGCTGATAACACGTGGAACTTTACAATTGTTTATAATTCCATGACTTTGCAGCTGAACAAACACCAATGGAACTTAACAGCTAACTGTACTTATAATTTGTATGACAATAGCACTTAGAGCCCTAACTGAGATCATGGTGCCACTGTGCTCCACAAAACGACCATCAGGAAGCAGCCAGAATGATGTGCCTCTCCTTTCCTGGGAACCCAAACTTAGCAGCATTACAGCACATCTAGACTTTACCAATCAAGGGAGCCAATATCCCCAAATACAGCCTGCTGTATGAGTCTAGAAAAGAAACAATAAATAGAAGCGTCAAAAAGAAAATCACTGATGGTATAACTATACTTGAACAAGCTACCCGCAGTGAACTGTGTCCCTGATTTTTGAATATCACAGATAAAAAGAAATATATGCACATTATGTATGATTCATCAAGTAGCTCAAGGCCTTCAGTGACACTGTTTGAAGCCACTACCTTTCAGCTGTTTACCCTTCTCTGATTTTTTGCCATGTTCTCTCATTTATGTCAACATCAGTGAGATACACAGAGGAGAATCCAGGGGGCATTAGGGAGCACAACTGAGTAATAGTAGCCATGATAAGAATAATTACACTAATTGAAATTCAGCGTACTAACTGGATGTTGTACGCCTCAGATCTTGTATACCTAGATGCAACTACATATTCAAATCCTGGCAGGGCTCATTCATTCTTGCATTCTTTCTTGCATTCATTCTTTGTCTGTAGACAAAGTAGCATGCAATTTATTTGGGGCTGAAATCTTAGAGACTCAGGATTATCATTTCTGCATTAAAATATGATATCCACATCTTCAGTCTGCACTAGATATAAACACAGGTCTTCACACTTCTCTCCCACAATGGACATCAGCTTTGACCAAATAGTGTCCCCTGAATTAAATACAGTGCAGAGGGACATATCCTAAACAAGATTACAGAAGAGTGCTTTAGATTTTGGGATCCAGGTATTCTGACTTTTAGACTGAATACCTAATTCAGAATACCCTTCTCCAAACGCAGAGCCAAAATAATTGGTTCGGCATGTTTCAGAATGCGTGCGCACACAAGAATGCTCTAGAAGCTGCTGCCATGTAATACACTGGGATGTACTTGATGACCTACAAGGTCATCATTTTCTGTAAAATGGGTGAGGCTAGGTGACAAACTAGACTATGTAGGATGTCTTCAGTGGCAAGGATTCACCAGCAGCAGACTTGCATCTTGCCCATGCTTATACAGAAAGTACCAGTACAATGTGGTGCTCTGCCATGGGATGGAAGGAGGTTCTATATGCCATACATGTGACTAGTTAACCCCCACTACACCTGCTGCACAGCTGTTTGCCAGTGAAGGCAGAATTTGATCCTATATGTTTTATTAAATCTCATGACAAGATAACCAGGACAAACCACTGCTCTTATGAAAAAAATAATTTTTTATGCCACACTAATGTGCTACCACCATCCTCCATCCCATGGAAACCAGATGACTAATTTCTGCAGAAATGAACCCAAAAGGGATGCAAGCATGGCCATTGCAAATCTCAAAATGAGAATATCTACAGAAAAGCCTCTTGCATTGTTCTCCGAGCTCTACCTGAAAGTGAATTGAAATTAAGACAACTTATAAAAGAAATGGTTATTTATTATTAATGGAGCCATAAGATAGAAAGGAGTGAAACACTTCTTGATCTCTATAAAGCTATTAAAAACAGTCCCAAGTTTAAGCCTAGTTCACTGTGGAGTTGCTAGATCCAGATCCCATGCTGGGAGTTGCAGTCTTTGAGTTTAGAAAAGCTAAGAGGAAACAGGAAGTATGTGTGTGTGTTAGGGACTGCAGCTGCAACTGCTTCTGAAGCTGCATAATTGTTGTCTAATGGATGCAGGATCAGGTCCTAGAATGGAAACAACCATATACCTGCTTTTTTCTCTCTCATATCCTTCCAACTCAGGACTCATCCCAAGAAGGTGGAATTACAGGCAGGGGTCAGCACCATCATGTTGCATGACAGACACTTGACAAAATTACCAGACTTAGTGATGGACATTGGCAGGGGGGGAGGGGGAGCGCTCCGGGCTGAGGCAGGGGATTAGGGTGGGAGGGGTGTGGGCTCTGGGCTTGGAGTGTGGGTTCTGGGGTGGGGCCAGAAATGAGGGGTTCAGGGTAAAGGAGGGGACTCCGGGCTGGAGCAGGGGGTTGGGATTCAGGGGGTGAGGGCTCCGGTGCAGGCTCTGGTGTGGGGCCAGGGGTGAGGCATTTGGGGTGCAGGAGAAGCCCCAACCACCTTCACCTGGACCCCCCCACAGAGTCCCATTATTGTTGCACCCAGAACCCCCCATGCATCCAGAGCCCCTCACACCCAGATCCCCCCCGAGCCATCCACACCTACATTGTCCCACACAGAACCCTCTCAACCTACACCTGGATCCCCTCCACACTTGGATCCTGTTGGGCTGAGCCTGCCTGCCCACACTTGGTGCACCTGGCATGGAGGGGCAGGGCCCTGCAATGTTTCTAGGGCAGGCATGGTCCTTGTGCTGTGCCAGGGTTGGGTGCAACCTCACCACTGAGTCCATGTCCCAAGGGGGAGCTGCAAAGTGATCCCCCATCTCTGTAGAGCCAATGGTTTGTGCTCCTTAATGCCATGCTGGAGCCTCCACATTTATTTAACAAATAAAATTTACAGAATTTTGCAGAATTTTAAGATGTGCAGAATTTTTAATTTTTTGGTGCAGAATTTTTAATTTTGGGCACAGAATTCCCTCAGGAGTAGTCACTTGCAGGTTTAAATTAGTGTAAATTGAAGTCTTTAAACCAGGACTTGAGGATTTCAGTAACTCAGCCAGAGGTTATGGGTCTATTACAGGAGTAGGTAGGTGATGTTCTGTGGCCTGCAATGTGCAGGAGGTCAGACTACATGATCATGATGGTCCCTTCTGGCCTTAAAGTCTATGAGAATTCATAGGAAAGTGACATTTTTGTACTGAGTCCTTCCCTAAACATGAGACAACCAACAAGATGCTGGCCAGGAACTCAGGAGAAGTGGGATCTATCCTCAGTTCACCACTGATGTGCTCCATGACCTTGGGCAAATCACTTCAACTCTGTGCCTTGGTTCTCTCCCCCCACCCATCTATAAAATGGGTATACTGATACTTACCTCTCTTGTAAAGCACTTTGAGATCTCCTGATAATAAGTATTAAATTCTGATACTGCAATTAGCTCCAAACAACCAGAGCTCTCTGTAGGTGCAGAGGTCATTGCAGGACCAGGGCCTTAGTTAAGTTCACTGCACTTCATAGCCTCAATGGCTATTTTATTTCCCTCTTCTCTCCCCCAACTGTAGTGTCATTTACTTCATTGTGATTCGAACCATATGGATGAAGAGTAAACCTCATGCTGTGATTGTTTCCAACTGTATTGGTGAGTCTAGACTTTAGAGATGGGCCAAAGCCATAAAATTCTGATGTGGATCTTCTAACTTTTGATCCCCTTGGGAGCATCTGAACTCAGAGTCTTGGTATGATCCCAATGTCTACTTATTATTATTATTATTGGAGGAATTATTTTCTTTTAATGGTTGTGTCATAAATATAAAGGGAAGGGTAAGCACCCTTCTGTATACAGAACTATAAAATCCCTCCTGGCCACAGGCAAAATCCTTTCACCTGTAAAGGGTTAAGAAGCTAAGATAACTTTGCTGGCACCTGACCAAAATGACCAATGAGAAGACAAGTTACTTTCAAGCTGGGGGGACACAAAGGCTGTCTGTCTGTCTGTGTGATGCTTTTGCCGGGAACAGAAAAGGAATGGAGTCTTAGAACTTAGCAAGTAATCTAGCTAGATATATGTTAGATATCTGTTTTGTTTAAATGGCTGGTAAAATAGCTGTGCTGAATGGAATGTATATTCCTGTTTTTGTGTCTTTTTGTAACTTAAGGTTTTGCCTAGAGGGATTCTCAATATTTTGAATCTGATTACCCTGTAAGGTATTTACCATCCTGATTTTACAGGAGGTGATTCTTTTACTTTTTCTTCTATTAAAATTCTTCTTTTAAGAACCTGATCGTTTTTTCATTGTTCTTAAGATCCAAGGGTTTGGGTCTGTGTTCACCTATGCAAATTGGTGAGGATTTTTATCAAGCCTTCCCCAGGAAAGGGGGTGTAGGGCTTGGGGGGAAAGACGTCTCCAAGTGGGCTCTTTCCCTGTTCTTTGTTTAACACGCTTGGTGGTGGCAGCAAAGGGTTCAAGGACAAGGCAAAGTTTGTACCTTGAGGAAGTTTTTAACTTAAGCTGGTAAGAATAAGCTTAGGGGGTCTTTCATGCAGGTCCCCACATCTGTACCCTAGAGTTCAGAGTGGGGAAGGAACCTTGACAGGTTGTTTGTACAGATAGGTTAGAAATGAGTTGTGAACAATTTCCTCTTTCCTTGGACAGAGAGCCCATTTTCACTGGGGATAGATGAGGGAAAAAAAGTCAGATCCCCTATTCCCACAAAATCTTCCATATCTAGAACCAACACTTTTTTAAAAAAGGCATTTGGACAATACTTTTGCTACATTTTGATATGCCTTTGCACTTCTGGATTCCAGTCAGCATCAGAAATACCCAAATGCAAAAGTAAAAGAGACCTGTTCTCCTGAGGCTTTCTATCCCTATTCTATAGGCCAAAGTGGCTCCGACTGTTCTGATGTGATTTGGAAAAGTGAGAGTTTTGGGGTAGCTATTTGCTCTGAACCCAAACTACCAGCCACTGAATGTTTCCTACTCACTAGCTGTCACCATCTTACTCATTTCCCTACTCACAACAGTATGTGATATGAAATTATCAATTAACCCTAAAGATTAAGTGGAACCACAGTACTGAGATAGGATGGAGAGCTATGATTTAATAAAACCAAAAATGTGTAGTCAGTGACACCACCTGAACTGAGGTTCCAATTACTCATAGGCCTTTGCTGTTTCCAGAGATTTACCTTCAACTCATATTTCAAATGCTGGTATCTCAACTGTTTTTAATTATATTTTATTACAAATTGTAACATAATCTGAATGCCTGGATGGGAGGGGGACTTTATTATTATACCACTCTGATGTGCACACTCTAGGTTACCAATAACAAAATTATGCATTCAAAATTTGAATGCACCTTCTTAATGCTAGCAGATCCCACATTGACATGCATAAATCAGGTAAATTCAGCTAGGCAAACTTGAATATGTAAATGTACAGAAGTTTGCCCATTTATACATGAGCAATGAACACTTATGGGCTAGAGTCATGACATGATGATGCTTCCACAATCAACATTGCATCAGAATATCAAACCTACCAACCACAAAACTTGCAAAGATTTCCCTCCCCTCAGCAAGTCTGAACAGGGCTGGTTTAGATTTCCAGCCACACCAAATTCAAAATGTAACAAGGCTCAGGTAGCCTGGAAAGAGAAATCTCATCAAAGGGGTATAGTCTCCTTTTTGGGCTAGTCCTTAACTCCCATTATCATATTTAATGTTAATGGCATCTTTCACTGGCTACAAAGCCATCTTGATCCTTTTTACCAGTTACACCAATTATGTAGCCTCAACAAGCTCTTGCTGTAAGAAGTGCAGAAGACAATAATATACAGTGTCCCATTACCAAAGAGATCATTAAAGTTTCACTTCTAAGCTGCGGTTACACAAGACAAGAGGACAGTTAATAAATATGATCCCAAAATGTGTTTACTATATTGAATGTAATTAATTTTACCTTATAGTTGTCATGGACCCGGACGTAGGTGGTCTGGGCTAGTAGTCAGAGCAGGAGTCAGGTGTAGTGGGCACAACAGGCATCCAGGTTGGGGAATGAAGCCAAGGGTCTGCACCAGAGTCAACTGCCCATCACCACAGCCAGGGGTCAAGTCAGAATCAGAACCAGGAATCAAAGCTGAGGGTCAGACTAAATGCTAGACCCAAGGGTAAAGCCAGAGTCTGGGTCAGCAGTTGGAGCCCAGGATCAAAGCTAAGAATGATAACTGGTGATGAGATGTAAGGGCAGGAACTATAGGAGAGATAAGGACCAAGCATGGAGCAGGAGCACAGTAGGAACAGGACCAAAGGCAGGAATGAGGCAGGAACAGAGGAAGAATCATGAACAAGGTTGGGTGCAGGAGAACAAGCAGACTCAAATGCAACCACCACAAGAAATTACCTTGTAGCTCAGAGAAACTTCCTGTCCCCTCTTCTGACTTAAATAGCGTGGTTGGACCAATCAGTGGAGCCAGACAAATACCAGTCAGGACTCCTGTGGGTGGAGCCTTGGCTGAGGCTATGGTCCTACTAGCTTCTTATCCCAGCAGGTTTCAGCAGACACTGGGTGGAGGCCAGGATGTAGAAGCTGTCTGGGGAGGCCTCAGGCTGGGTTCAAAACCTGTGATATCACAAAAGTAACAAAAGAAAAATGGATAATCACAGTAAATTCATGTATATTATAGTAATCATTTTGGTGTCATTCAATTATAGCACTTGATTTTCCTCTCAGTTACAGTAGTGTGTCGTCCACAGAGTTGCACCTGATTTACACTAGTGTAACTGAGAAGAGACTCAAGTTCATGGCTTCTAAATTCAAAGCACATTTCTGAGAAGCTGTTCAACAAAAGTCCTTTGAAATTATTATTAAATAAACATGAATAGGGGAAAATGTATAATTGGTTACCTAAGGGATAAAAAAGAGAAAAGGATTATTTAAGGGAATTGAGAACATAGCTTTTTAAAATTCTTTTTAATAAAATGCATTTAAGAAATGAATAATTGTGTTTTTCAAGGTCTTTTTTTATGACAATTTCTAACACCTTTCACAAAATATTGCATGTAAAGTAGCATTGTTGTTGCTGGGTAAGTGGTTAGCTGGGCCAAGATTTTCAAAAAGTGACTAGTGATTTGGGGTGGCTCAGTTTTTGGATGCCCTACCTGGGATGCCTTAAATGGGCCTGATTATCAGAATGTGCTGGGTAGAGTTGGGCAGGAAACAGTGTTCCTACTGTGTGAGAGTTTTTGAGATTACAAATGTTGTTCCTGCCCCAAAAATCAGGACAAAAAGTCAAAATGTTTAATTATAAAACAAAACTAACAATCCAAAGAAAAAAATATTTGGATTGGGTCAACTGAAGTGTTTCATTTTGATAATTTTTAAACGGTTTGTTTAATTTTTGACCTTTTTTATTTCTAAACTTTTTTTTAGTATAAATTAATTAAAATTTCAAAACAAAAACTCATTTTGAACCAGAAAACAACACTTGACATTTCAAAAATGTCAAAATGGGGATTGATAATTTTGAAACTTTTGTCCAAAAAAGTTTCAAATAGGAAAATACATCACATCTCTGACCCTTTCCTGCGAAGTTTTGGTTTTGACAAATCAGCATTTTTGAAAATTAAAAATGTATTTCAGAAGATTCCCGTCCAGTTCTGGTGCTGAGCATCTGATGGACGTGGATTTCAATTAGTGGAAGGTTGGCCCGATTCTATAACTCCATTGACCCCTGCATTTCCTGCTAGTTAATTGGGAGTTCTGCGTTTGACCTTTCTCCCTCTTATTTCCCCAGATGGCAAATTCTGTGCCAGCAACACCCATCGAGGGCTCATATCAAAGGCTAAAGTTAAAGCTATCAAGTACAGTAAGTATGGTAAGTGAAAACCATACAGTTGGTAGCTATACAGGTAAAGAGAATGAAAAGAGCTAGTATAGCTATTGATAGGAGAGGGAGGCAGGGATGGATAGCTCAGTGGTTTGAGCATTAGCCTGCTTAAACCCAGGATTGTCAGCTCAATCCTTGAGGGAGCTATTTAGGGATCTGGGGCAAAAATTGGGGATTGGTCCTGCTTTGAGCAGGGGGTTGGACTAGATGACCTCCTGAGGTTCCTTCCAACCCTGATATTCTATGATAACAGAGGAATTTGACTGACTGTAATCCAGAACTCGTTTACAATGTATTTATGGAAGAACTGCTCTTTTAGCTATAGACAAGAAGAAAGCCAAGGAAAGTGTGGGCCCCTTAATGAATGAGGGAGGCAACCTAGTGACAGAGGATGTGGAAAAAGCTAATGTACTCAATGCTTTTTTTGCCTCTGTCTTCACGAACAAGGTCAGCTCCCAGACTGCTGCGCTGGGCATCACAACATGGGGAATAGATGGCCAGCCCTCTGTGGAGAAAGAGGTGGTTAGGGACTATTTAGAAAAGCTGGACGTGCACAAGTCCATGGGGCCGGACGAGTTGCATCCGAGAGTGCTGAAGGAATTGGCGGCTGTGATTGCAGAGCCATTGGCCATTATCTTTGAAAACTCATGGCGAACGGGGGAAGTCCTGGATGACTGGAAAAAGGCTAATGTAGTGCCAATCTTTAAAAAAGGGAAGAAGGAGGATCCTGGGAACTACAGGCCAGTCAGCCTCACTTCAGTCCCTGGAAAAATCATGGAGCAGGTCCTCAAAGAATCAATCCTGAAGCACTTACATGAGAGGAAAGTGATCAGGAACAGTCAGCATGGATTCACCAAGGGAAGGTCATGCCTGACTAATCTAATCGCCTTCTATGATGAGATTACTGGTTCTGTGGATGAAGGGAAAGCAGTGGATGTATTGTATCTTGACTTTAGCAAAGCTTTTGACACGGTCTCCCACAGTATTCTTGTCAGCAAGTTAAAGAAGTATGGGCTGGATGAATGCACTATAAGGTGGGTAGAAAGTTGGCGAGATTGTCGGGCTCAATGGGTAGTGATCAATGGCTCCATGTCTAGTTGGCAGCCGGTGTCAAGTGGAGTGCCCCAGAGGTCAGTCCTGGGGTCGGTTTTGTTCAATATCTTCATAAATGATCTGGAGGATGGTGTGGATTGCACTCTCAGCAAATTTGCGGACGATACTAAACTGGGAGGAGTGGTAGATACGCTGGAGGGCAGGGATAGGATACAGAGGGACCTAGACAAATTGGAGGATTGGGCCAAAAGAAATCTGATGAGGTTCAATAAGGATAAGTGCAGGGTCCTGCACTTAGGACGGAAGAACCCAATGCACAGCTACAGACTAGGGACCGAATGGCTAGGCAGCAGTTCTGCCGAAAAGGACCTAGGGGTGACAGTGGACGAGAAGCTGGATATGAGTCAGCAGTGTGCCCTTGTTGCCAAGAAGGCCAATGGCATTTTGGGATGTATAAGTAGGGGCATAGCGAGCAGATCGAGGGACGTGATCGTCCCCCTCTATTCGACATTGGTGAGGCCTCATCTGGAGTACTGTGTCCAGTTTTGGGGCCCACACTACAAGAAGGATGTGGATAAATTGGAAAGAGTCCAGCGAAGGGCAACAAAAATGATTAGGGGTCTGGAACACATGACTTATGAAGAGAGGCTGAGGGAACTGGGATTGTTTAGTCTGCGGAAGAGAAGAATGAGGGGGGATTTGATAGCTGCTTTCAACTACCTGAGAGGTGGTTCCAGAGAGGATGGTTCTAGACTATTCTCAGTGGTGGAAGAGGACAGGACAAGGAGTAATGGTCTCAAGTTGCAGTGGGGAAGGTTTAGGTTGGATATTAGGAAAACCTTTTTCACTAGGAGGGTGGTGAAACACTGGAATGCGTTGCCTAGGGAGGTGGTGGAATCTCCTTCCTTAGAAGTTTTTAAGGTCAGGCTTGACAAAGCCCTGGCTGGGATGATTTAATTGGGGATGGGTCCTGCTTTTGAGCAGGGGATTGGACTAGATGACCTCCTGAGGTCCCTTCCAACCCTGATATTCTATGATTCTATGATTGTATGAATATAAATGGCTCATCAGCAAATAGTAAAGATATTTAGAAAGTATGTTTAATTGTGAATGATTTTAACTTGGAATGGTATTTGTCCAGTGTATGTGTATTATTACTTCCACAACGGCATGTGTCTTCATTGTGGTTTACAGACAAATAAAATACAGGTCCCTACCCCAAACTAGTTTCCACCTTTACAGGTCTAAACCTGCACCCCTTGAAGACAATGGCCCACAGGTGCTGGACCTAGGGGTGCTGTCACACCCCCTGGCTTGAAGTGGTTTCCATCATATTCAGGATTTACAGTTTGGTTCAATGGCTCTCAGCACCCCCGCCATACACATTGCTCCAGCACCCCTGCAAGGGCCAGATCTTCAGCTGAAATAAGCTGATGAAGCACCATTGACTTCAATGGAACAAAACAGGTTACATCAGCTGTAGATGACTCCCAAAGTGTCCCTGACTTCAACAGGAGCAGCAGCAGCTCCAGTAGTCACTGGTTAGTTGAGCTTATTGTGTCCATAACATTCAGCAGAATAATTCCAGATCCTCTTCAGAGCTGACTATGGTGCCAGAGTAGCAATAGATAAGGATGGCATTTAACTGCTAAACCTCCTTTTCAGTTGCTTACAGCTTTCCCAGCAAATGACCTTTTAGGCTGCAATTACTGAAGAGTTCCAGTTTGCATCTGCTGTGGATGTGGGTGTAGGTTTGTTGTATTTTTTTTCTTTTTTATGATGTGCACACTTCTTCAGTGCGGTCTGAAATAAGAGCACCATTTCATTTCCCATTAGACCATCCATCAGAGCTTAATTTGAATTGGTAAAATGATAAAGAGCTAAGTATTATGAATTATTACATTATACCTCAATATTTACCACGCCTGAGAGAGCCAAATAATCATTTACCCAGAGAGAGCCAAATAATGATTTTTAATGGCAAATGCCTTCTCTATACCACTTATATCACATCCCTGTCTAGTTTCTCATCTTATCCTCACAATTATGTAACTATTGTAATTATATTTTTAAATACATGTATTTTTATATAAATCCAACTACTGGAGATATGTTATATACACATGAACACACTCACTATATATATTCCGTTCACATTTAATGACCAGCTTGGGGTGTGAGGCACTACTCAGTACAAAGAAAGCAAGCAAAATCTGACCCTTAATTAATTCACAGATAAATTAGGAGAGAGGTATAAAGGGGACTGGCAAAGAGATCATCCCTGCTGGCATAGCATTGAAAAGGAGAAAGAGGAACTCTACTCTCTTTCTGGAGTTAAACAAGAGCTAAGACTTGCGCAAACATACACACACACACAGATAGGCCCGCTGATGGGGTGGGGGAGAAAGGGGACAATTGCCCAGGGGCCCGGGCAATTTTAAAGGGCCTGGAGGCTCCCGGGTCCCGCCGCCAGCAGTGCAGCGGGGCTAAGGCAGGCTTCTTGCCCATCCTTGCTCCACGCCATGGCTGGCATGTTACTGCAGCCCCTGGGGAGGGGAGGTCTCTGCGTGCTGACTCCAGCTCAAGTGCGACTCTGCAGCTCCCACTGGCCAAGAACTGTGGCCAATGGGAGCAGCAGGGGGGCGGTGCCTGTGGGAAGTGGCACGTGGACACCCCTTATGCCCCCCGCCTAGTAGCCGCTGACAGAGGGGTGTGCCAGTTGCTTTCAGGAGCCGCCCTAGGTAAGCGCCGACCCTCTCCTGCACCCCAACCCCCTGCCCCAGCCTAGAGCCTGCACTCCACACCCGCTCCCGCACCCAAACTCCCTCCCAAAGCCTTCACCCCTCCCTCCCAGAGCTGGCACCCCTCACCCTGTCCTGCACCCAAACTCCCTCCCAGAGCTCTCACCCCCTCCTGCCCCCCAACCCCTGACCCAGCCTGGTGAAAGTGAGTGAGGGTGGAGGAGAGTGAGCAGGGGGTGGGACCTCAGGGAACAGGCGGGCAGGCGTGGGGCAAGGCTCTTTGGATTTGCGTGATTCAACAGTTGGCAACCCTCCCAGGCGGGCACGTGGAAGCCCTGGCTGTGCCGGAAGAGTGTGACCAGCAGTGCAACCGGCAGCTCGCTGGGCACCAGCCAGCACAGACGCAGCACCACACTGCCCAAATGTCAGGAGGACCGCATCCATGCGGGCATGGCTTGTGCGTGCATGGGGGCCCACTGACTGTTCTGCCCTGGGCCCTGGAATTGCTGTCGGGGGGGCCTGCACACAGAGCTAGATGTTAGAATGAAAGTTCCACATGAACTTATTTGCAGAGGAAGGATTTTAACTTGCACTGTAAGGGTAGAGCCCAGAGAATGACTTTACTAGAAGGTGATGTAGTGAAAACACACTGAGTTTTGATCTCTATGATATAAGCTCAACTCCTTTGTAGAATGAGATTTTCTACTTTATCAAAGTATCATCTGACCTCATCCTCAAAGGAAACCTGCACAACACTTTCCAAAGACAAGCCCGGGAGTTTAAATTCATAACTTTGATAGACACTAAAAGTCAGGGACTGAACAGAGATACTGGGTTTATGGCTTATTATAATAATTTGTAACCCACTTAACAACTTCCCTCCCACCTCCCCATCCCCCATCCATTTCTTTCCTCCCTATGACTGTAGGCATGTTAACAGGCCACTTCACCTTGAATGGTTCCTTGAAATGTGTGTTAACTGCTTATGCTAAACAATCTGTTCCATCTTGTATTGAGCTGTGACACTCTGATTAAGTTTCCTAGACATGAAGAACAGATCTATGTAAGTTCAAAAGCTTGTCTCTCTCTCACCAACAGAAGTTGGTCCATAAAAAAGTATTACCTCACCCACCTCGTCTCTCCTTACCCTCAGTCATTTAAAAAGAACTCTGGATGTTTAATATCACCCCCCCTCCGCCCCCATACAAGGAGGTAGTTGATGGATGTGTATGGCTGTGGCTCCATTGGCTACAACTCTTCTCATTTATCTGATCTGCCCCCATCTCTCTCTGCATAGACCTACATGGTTATCTCAGATTTCTGCTCTGTAGTGTGCAATCATCTACTTACCCACTTCCCGAACAATGGAACTCTGCTGGTGGCACCTGCGTTCAGAGCCTTCCACAGTCCTTGCTTGTGGTGAAGTCTTTTGGACTTCATGAGCGAATGTCGGATTTATGTATTACCATTTAAATTAACAAGCACACTGGAAGATTAAATGGTTGACATTGTCTGGTTTGAGATCTCGTTTGGAGATATTTACACCCCATGGTGTTCCTGATTAATATATGCGGCATGCACAATTCACGCATAAAAAGAGACTGTGAAAACAACTGCACATCGACTTCATTTTCCACTGTTCTATTTGCTGTGACTAAGAAGTGCAGACATCTGGGAAGCAGGGGGCAAGGAGAGAAAAGTTTAGCTATCTGATTCAATGCTAGAAGCATGCTGATTGCCCAGATGGGAACAGTGAGCTTTCCCTACCTCACAGCATAGCGGAGGTCTTGGGGCAGGTGTTGTTCTGCATTCATTTCCTAGGGAAACAAAAGGATATTAGTGGAATGATGACACTGACATTGCACGGAGATAAATAAAGGCTGCAGCATACAGGGCTTGTGATTAGCTGCAGTGCCACATAGGAAGACAATTGTAGCCATTTACTTATAGAGCTGACACCCACGCCCGCATCTGCAGATGGGTATTTTCATGGTAGCATACTCAGAGATCTACCTACCTTTTCTCTTCAAGCTCAGCTTTTATACTGACTTATTTTGTGGAAATAACTACGCTGTAGTTGCTTGTTTAGTGCTGGCATTTGCAATGACCAAAAACAAATGTCTGAATCCTGCTTTTCACAGGAACAGGATCACAGCCTTTTCTTTTTTAAACTCATCTGTGTGGCGATAAAAGAAAGCCTCTGTTCCAGTCTACTGCCACTACAAGGCTGTCCATAACAGCTGCTAATCTTACTGAATGTTGAAGCTCATGCTCATTAAAAATGTCTGACTAGGATTTTCAAAGGAGCCTCAGCGAGAAAGGTACATAAATCCCTTTGTACCATAGGTGTTGACTCCATGGGTGCTCCAGGGCTGGAGCACCCACAGAAAAAAAAAATTAGTGGGTGCTTAGCACCCACTGGCAGAACAGAGGGGTTGAGCACCTCCGGGGCCCGGAGGAAGCCAGAGCCTGTGCTTTGTACTTCAATGGATGCTGGGAATTGGGGGTTAATGCCCAGCATTTATTTATTTATTTTATATATATATAAAAATAAAAGGAAAGCAGTTTGCACATTCCTTGTGTAACCCTTCTGCCAGGCCAAGTTGATAGCAGCAAGGGCCGGGTTCAGTACACAGGGGTTCCCTCTCATCAAAGCAAATGCAAAACTGGCTCGAGCCCCCACCCAGTGACCTGGGAAAATCTTACACACCCCCTGGGCGCCTCAAAGAGGCAATACTTCCCCTCTCGCAAGCACAGAGTCTCAGTGTAGCAGAGAATCTTTAATAACATGAGGTAAACGACATCCGCATTAAATTGGGGAAAACACCACAACTAATGTTCATTAACCAAACCATGAGCAAAGACCCACCCCAGCAAATTGGGCCACATCCTTTCCCTCGGGTTCTTGAGCCCAGAACCCAAACGTCTCTTGAGTCCAGCAATCCACAAATCACCCAAAGTCCAAAAAGTCCAGCCCCAGAGTTCAAAAGTTCATCTGCATAGTGTTACTCCCCAGTCTGGCTAAAATGTGCCTGTGTGTGGGGGAAAGAGGTAAGGGGCACCTTACGTGTCCTGAAGCTGATGGCCCCACAGGGCTCTGCTCTGCTCCGCTGTCTCACGACCGGCTCCGCTCTGCACAGCTCGCTGTCTCACGAACACTCCACTCCTCCATCTCATGAACAGTTCTGCTCAGCTCTCCTCGCCGTCTCACAAACACTCCGCTGTCTCACGAACAGCTCTACTCTGCACAGCTCACCTCGCCGTCTCACGAACACTCCACCAGCCTATCCACGAACAGCACCACTGCACTCTAGATCTTCCGGCTCCGTCCACTACTTGACACAGTGCTCAGTGATTCCAGCTCTCAGTGATTTCAGCTCATAGTAGTGGGAGCCTTTAGTGCTGGTGCACCATAAGGCCAAAGTGAATTCAGCACAGTACCTGTAGCAAGACTCTTAATAGACCCAAAATTAGCTCTGACATTCCACAGTGGAGAGAGACAGAGGTGCAATTGGTGTTTCAGGCCCCCACAAAGGAGCCCACACCACCAGGTACTAATACCTGTCTCAAGTCTCTCTCAATTCACAGAGTTTTGGAACCCATGTCCCTTGCCTAGCGAGTGCTACTTAGTTGATGGTGAATCCCTCCATCATAACAAAAAGCCAAGTACAGTTCCAAGCACAGTTCCCATAATCAGGGTAATAACAATTTATTCTTCCCGCCCCAATAACAGAGACACTGGGGATCCCACAACAGCCAAAGTGACCATTTGGGCAGTTATGGCCTCATCCTAGGCGGGGTGCATGTGCCTATGCAAATGAGATCAGCCCCTGAAGTTCTTTTCCACAACTTGCCACACCTCACCACCAGATGTCAGGGTGGAGCTCATCCTGACTCTGCTTACACTTGCATATCTTTAATGTGCTCAGACAAGTGTCAGCTGAGAAATACAACAACATTCCAAGGTGGCAAAATGTGGGCTCAGGATATGCCCTTGAGGGCAGGTCTACACTTAACACACTGCCGTGGCACAGCGGCACCAGTGCAGCTACGCCTCTACAGCATTTCAGTGAAGACGCTGCTACGCCAATGGGAGCAGCTCTTCCATCGGTGGAGTTAATCCACCTCCATAGCTATGTCGATGGGAGAAGGTCTCCTGTTGACTTAGCACTGTCTGCACCGGTGCTTAGGTGGGTATAACTGCATCACTCTGGAGTGTGGAATTTTCACACCCCTGAGCGATGGAGTTATACCAATGTCCGTTTTTAGTGTAGATCTTGCCTGAAATAACATTGCTTTGTTTTGAAGTATTCCTGGACATCGGGCAGTGTTCTCTTTTCTGAGCCCACAGCTAAACATGCATTCACAGCCAGTGAGTGATATTCTGTAGGGGTGAATTCCCCATTCCAATGGCTCCACATAAATCTTGACTTAGCACACTTTGTGTGGGGGGCACGACATGGGGGCTGGGTAGGACAGAATCCATTCCCCATCCTGTGGGCAGGGCAAGAGGTAATTTTGTAGCCTGTTAATATCTGCTGTGGCAGATATTCTGGACTAGAACAGGGGCCATGAACCATGCATGTTACATTATTGCAACCCTCCCTCTTCTTCCCCAAATCCTGCTTTCGGGGGTGGCCTATGCTGAACTGGCACAGAGTCCTCCCATGCATTCATTCTGTAGCACCTGCCAGCCACTGTGCAGAACTGCAGTGAGTCTGCTGTGGTTTGGAGTGAGAGTGCAGAAGAGAGTCCTGTCTCTTACCCTACGTGCATTTTGTTAACATAGTGCGGTTAACAAAGAGTTAGTTTTGCGGTGACTGAGTTTACACTGGCTGTTAGCACAGGGGACCATTCACACAGCCATTCACTGTATGTGATGATGTTTTAATCGGCTATCTATTTATCCTTATGATTATATTTTAGTTGTGTAGCTCTCTCATAATGCCTAGATGTGTCTAGGGGGACCACTTTATGAATACACTTACTGGAAGAATCACAATATTTTATGGTTATTACAATAAAAATAAAGGAGCAGATATATGAAGATCTAATAACTAATCCCTTAACTAGGACTTTTTAAATAGGGAGAGAGAGACTCTTGTGTGATCAAACATATATGTGGCCAATCTGTTTTATGGTAATCTTCTTAAATACTCACCCCATTTAACTTTAGCATTTTAAATCTCCCTCTCACTTTTGCAGCATTTGTACTCTGCTGGAGCCCTTACTTTCTCTTTGATATCCTGTACGACTTCAAAGTACTCCCTGAGACCAACGAACGCTTCTATGCATCTGTGATTATTCAGAATCTACCATCTTTAAACAGTGCCATTAATCCCCTCATCTACTGCATCTTCAGCAACAGCCTTTGCCATCCTTTTGGGTATTGCTTCATTATTGCAGTAGCTGCTGTATATCTCCTATCCTTTTCCCCTTAAAAAAACTGAAATAAAATAAAATAAAAGGGAGGGGGGACATAAATACAATTTTTAAACTTTACCAAGTGTGTGTAAATAATTCTATTTTTTTTTATATTTTAATTTTATTTAGGAAAAGAAGAGCAAGAAACTTAGGGAGAACTTTCAGAGACCAAACTGATGGGCAGGAGATGCACGCTCTGTCCAAGCCCGAATACATCGAGAGTGCAAGTATCAAGACCCCCGCTAGTACTGCCTGGAGAATGCTGACATCTCATTCTTGCTCTATAGCATATGGATTTCAGAATGGCATTGCAAATTCTTTCACTGAACACCCTATGGGCCAAATTCAGCCCTGGGATAAAGGAAAGTTGCGTGTTCTTATGCCAAGCCTGCATTTAACCCTCTATTTCCAGAGAAGCTGTATCCAAGTACAGCTTGTATCCAAGTGGTGTACCTGAATATCAGGATTTTCTATCTGTTTTTAAAGATTATCTTGTTGAAGCTTGTCATAAATATAAAGGGAAGGGTAAACACCTTTAAAATCCCTCCTGGCCAGAGGAAAAACCCTTTCACCTGTAAGGGGTTAAGAAGCTAGGAGAACCTCACTGGCACCTGACCAAAATGACTAATGAGGAGACGAGATACTTTCAAAAGCTGGAGGGGGGAAATAAAGGCTCTCTCTCGATCTGTGTGATGCTTTTGCCGGGGACAGAACAGGAATGGAGTCTTAGAACTTAGTAAGTAATCTAGCTAGATATGCATTAGATTCTGATTTCTTTAAATGGCTGAGAAAATAAGCTGTGCTGAATGGAATGTAGATTCTTGTTTTTGAGTCTTTTTGTAACTTAAGATTTTGCCTAGAGGGATTCTCTATGTTTTGAATCTGATTACCCTGTAAGGTATTTACCATCCTGATTTTACAGGAGGTGATTCTTTTTACCTTTTCTTCTATTAAAATTCTTCTTTTAAGAATCTGATTGCTTTTTCATTGTTCTTAAGATCCAAGGGTTTGGGTCTGTGTTCACCTATGCAAATTGGTGAGGATTTTTACCAAGCCTTCCCAAGGAAAGGGGGTATAAGGTTTGGGAGGATTTTGGCGGGAAAGACATTTCCCAACGGGCTTTTTCCCAATTATATACCTGTTAGACGTTTGGTGGTGGCAGCGATAAAGTCCAAGGGCAAAAGGTAAAATAGTTCGTACCTTGGGGAAGTTTTAACCTAAGCTGGTAAAAGTAAGCTTAGGAGGTTTTCATGCAGGTCCCCACATCTGTACCCTAGAGTTCAGAGTGGGGAAGGAACCTTGACAAAGCTACATACAGTTACCAGCTGATGTAACTGGTAAAGAGCATTTAGAGCTAATTACAGACATTATTTAATACATTTGCAATGAAGCATCGGCATCATCTCAACTCAGCCCATACCACCTTCAATTTAATTTATTGGTGAGATTTTTGTTTCTTTATATATCACGATTTATGATATGTACAAAAAGGTGGTGGGGGAGGGAGGTAATTAGCGCATCAAAATCATCAGGGGATATAAACTGTTGTAGCACTGTTGAAGCTTTGGAATGCCACTGATTTACAACAGCTCTTGATCTTGCCCCACCTGTTTAAGTAAGAGCTAGTGCAATATTTGTAAAACTACACCAGTGCAGATGGCTTACATTGTTAAAAAAAATAGGGAAGCCTCTGAATTGCAATGTAAAGCCAGATCCCCAAAACACCTCTGTGAGTAGTCTCAGTGAAATCAACAATTCATATCAATATTCCTGTTTGCCAAAGGTTGTATTTAGTACAAGTGTTCACCTTTAACAAATGATGAATTGCCTTCAGCAACTAAAGAACTTTACCTCAGTCTTTGCTGTATGCTAGGTACTCTCTATAGCAAATATGGGGCCATTTATGTAATACTGCATATAAAGAGCTAATATTATCTATCCACTGTATCAAAGGCAAAATTAACACTAGCACCTACATGTTACAAACCTGGGCGATATGGAATAGGATACCATTGCTGTCATTCTTGCATACCTTTGGGTCATTTTAGTAAATGCACTAGGTAAGCACAGTAATACCATATTGAGCTTGGCTCTCTCTCATTTGTGGACGGTAGTGCCAGTTTTCACAGAGCCTTTCATTCATTTACTCTATGCACTACTGTTTATGCTGCCGGCCTTGCCTGCGTTTCTGTTGTTGCTGCTCCCACACACATTCTTGAAAGTGAATGTACCAGTGATGTGATATTACAGTCGTGTTAGCCACATATAAATCCTTTTCAGGATAAGCTCTCTATAGCCCATCTATATTTTAAAGATTCCTCTTTTAACTATGGCTAGGGATGGAGGGAAAAAAATTATAGCCTGCTCACATCTTCATCCTACCCAAACAGCTGACTCTAAATATTTATTCAGGTTTAGACTGGTTCCAATTTAAATTAATTCCCCCTTCTTCAGCCCTCTGACTCCAAGCATGAATGTGGTTACCACCCTTTTACCTTTAAACACCACCTAGTTTCCTTCCACCTCATGAACCTCTGATAAACCCCAAACTCCCTCCTCTTCCAACCTGAGATCCCCACAGTATGCCTATTCTTGCACTGCTGTGTCTTTGGAGTTCCCAGTGTAGGATGCAGCATCTCTCTCTCTGCTTGTCCTAGGCCATCAATATATTGAAACTATTGTATGCATTCTAAAATGTGCTGTGCACCCTGGAGTGCAAAAACAGGAGAATCTTCAAATGTAGGATGAAGAGGAGAGGGATGAATTGAAGGGATCTAAAGTGTAAGATCATTGGGACAGAGATTGTTTTCTTTGTGTTAGTATAGTGCTAACACAATGGGGATCTGACCTATTTAGAACCTTTAGACACTGCTGTGATGGAAGAACATAAGAAAGGCCATACTGGATCAGACCAATGATCCATCTAGCCCATTGTCTCTGATAGAGAACTTATCAAGTGACCCTGCTGTCCACTCCCAGCTTCTGGCAGTCAGAGATTTAGGGACACCCAGAGAATGGGGTTGTGTCTCTGACCAGCTTGACTAATAGCTACTGATGGACCTATCCTCCATGAGCTTATCTAATTCATTTTGGAACCAGTTATACTTTTAGCCTTTACAACATTCTATGGGAAAGTGTTCCTCTGATTGACTGCGTTGTGTGAAAAAGTACTTCCTTATGTTTGTTTTAAACCTGCTGCCTATTAATTTCCTTGGTGACCCCTGGATCATGTGTTATGAGAAGGAGTAAATAACACTTCCCTATTCACTTTCTCCACATCATTCATGATTTTATAGACCTCTATTATATCCCCCCTTAGTTGTCTTTTTTCTAAGCTGAACAGTTCCAGTCTTTTTAATGTCTCCTCATATGGAAGCTGTTCCATACCCTTAATCATTTTTGTTGCCCGTCTCTATATCTTTTCCAATTCAAATATATCTTGCCTGAGATGGGGCAACCAGAATTGCATGCAGTATTCAAATTGTGGGCATACCACGGATTATATCGTGGCATGATAATATGTTCTGTTTTATTATCTATCCCTTTCCTAATGGATCCTAACATTGTTAGCTTTTTTGACTGCTGCTGCAAGATCTATTGGAAGGTTACAGATAAGGAAATTGTCATTAAAGGAACCCAGGGAATGGGGAGGAGCAAGGGGACTATTGGCAAATTACAAGGAAGGAGGCAGAAGTCAAACTCTATTAATTAGAGGATCATGGGGAAGTGTGGGGGTGGAGCCTCAAAGTTAAGATAAACTTGAAAAATTAACTTTTCATGGTTCAGTCTTGTTAAATCCAGGACTAGGCCATAGACTGTAATCCACCATGTTTCCATCATTAAGAATTCCCTTCCATGAACTCTCAGGGAATCTTCCTTCCTTAGTTTTCTCAAATGCAAAGCTCACTGCTGTCTTACTGATTTAGCTGGTGGGCTAGATATACTGATTTCAATATTTATTTTGGTGTAAGGCATCATAAAATGTTTGCATGATACTGTAATCTGATCAGTTCTATTGCACTGTATATTGTACTATAAATTCTGATCCGAGTTTATTTCTTCTTCTCCAAGATTTGCACTCCTATATAAGTGGGATGTGTTTAAATAGTTCATATGAGTTTTTATAATCCTTTACAGCTTGCTCCCTGCAAAGAAACCTGAATAAATCTTATTTGCTTATGTGTATTACAGTAGTCTTTTTTTTCTAAACTAGGAGGTACAAGACATCTCATTTATGGTTTATATGTTCTTGTGAGACCATGATAATCAATCAGAATATCCTTTCCATAATTAAAAAGCTCAGTTAAATCTTGTTTTTTGCCACATGATTAATTAAAACAATGAAGCTACACAATTCCTCATAACAGAGTCACTTTAGAGAGACTGCATGTAAGGATTAGATAATATTTCCTATTTTCAGTTATTTACAACCTTGGGGGGCGGGAGAGTGGACATTTTTCAGGCTGAACTTGGCCTTAGCCTGGGAGGTTTTGTTTGTTTCTTTTCTGATATAAACAAACACATTTTCTACTTTTAAATTCTTAGCACATTTTAGAAATATATTATCTACATTTCAGATATTCTGAGGGGCCCAGGGAAAGTCAAACAGATTTTCATTTGACAAATTAATGTAAGCCCCCAGTCTTCAAACACTTACACTTGTGCTTCACTTTAAGCACATAAATAACTCCCATTAAAGTTAAGCACCTGTGTAAGTGGTTGCAAGCTCTGGGCCTCAGTCTTTATCTGAAACCAAACACAATTCCATAATAATTATAGCTGAAGGCCTCCCAAGTAGTTAAAAATAGCAATACCACCTTTCTCTTGGGCCAGGTCTACCCTTTCAGCGCTGCAATACGTCTGGTGACAACATTCTATGCCAACATTCTAACCCATCGGCATAAAAAACCCACCTTGGTGAATGGCAGAACTGTGCACATGAGTGACTGTGTCCATGTAACTTATGTTGCTTAGGAGGTTATGCCGACATAGGGTGTAGAGTAGACATAGCCTCCCATACAGGTCTTTCTTTTTTATTTTTCTTTGGTGTGTGTGTGTGTGTGTGTGTGTGTGTGAGTGGGCTGCTACTCTGAAAAAGACAGATTGTAACTGATTATAAGTGATAGCAAACAGATCAAAGCAGATCACCTAGTAAATAAACAAAAAACACAAAGTCTAACACACTAGTTAGAATGAATATGAACTAGCAGTTTCTCAGCCTGAGAGATGATGCAAGCAGGCTGCAGATTCTTAAGGGACAAGCTGCATTTGCTTTACAGCTTGGAATCCCCAGGTGTTTCATACACAGGCTAGAAATCCCTTTAGTCTGGGTCCAGCACTTCCCACAGTTCAATCTTTGTTTGTCAGGTGTTTCCAGGAGTTTTCTTGCGTGGGGAGTGAAGAACCCCCTATTATGTCACTTCCTGCCTTATACACCTTTTGCATATGGTAGGAACC